CAATCTTATAAAAATTTTAAAGGAAAAGGAAAAGTGTCGACAAAAATGGAAAAAATTTAAAAACCATCTAGACAAATTTGAATATGATATATTAAAAAAACGAACTAATATGCTTATAAAAAAATTGTACAATAAATATATTAATGATGTTCAGGATAATCTAATAAAGAATCCAAAAGTGTTCTGGTCTTACCTAAAACAAAAACGTCAAAACTCCAATAATATACCACAAAACATGAAACTCGACAATATCAAGTAAATGATGGAGCCAGTATTGCAAACTTATTTGCTAAAAAATTTGCTGGTGACTACACTCTTCCTGCAAATTCACATCAATTTAATAGGACAATACCATCTTGCACTCAGTCATTAAATAATATATATATATATATATATATATCACAAGAAAAAATTAAGACAACCTTAAAAAACCTGGACGTTAAAAAGAGTGCAGGCAGTGATAGTATACCTCCTATATTCTTCAAAAATTGTGCAAATCAGTTCTCTAGACCCTTATATATCATATACAATAAGTCACTTTCTGAAGGATATTTTCCAACTCAATGGAAAGAAGCTCTTGTTGTGCCTATACCTAAATCCGGTGATCGATGCGATATTAAAAATTATCCACCAATCAGCATTCTTCCAGTACTGGCTAAGGTCTTTGAGTCCCTCATATGTCCTACCTTAAACTGGCATATAAAACAACACATCACTGATCGACAACACGGTTTTTTCAAACAATGTTCAACTGCAACTAATCTAACTGCATTTGTTGAAAGAACGATTACAAGCATGAGCAACGGTGATGAAGTTGATGTAATATACAGTGACTTTAGTAAAGCCTTTGACAAAGTTGACCATTTAATCCTCGAGCATAAATTAAAAACACAGTTTGGCATAGAAGGCTCACTTCTAAAATAGTTTCACTCATACCTCTCAAAGAGGACTATTAAAGTAATAGTAAACGGTTTTATTTCAAACACTTTCACTCCGACATCTGGTGTTCCACAGGGATCTATCCTTGGCCCCGTACTCTTTATTATTTTTATAAATGATATTAAATATATAATAAAAAACTCTGAATTCGAACTTTATGCAGACGACCTAAAAATATCAAAGATTGTCAAAACTGAGCAAGAGCAAAGAGCTTTACAAGATGATATCGACAAATTTTACGATTGGTGCCAACATAATAGAATGGAGCTGAATATCAAAAAATGTTTTCATATCAAATTCTCCCGAAAATACCATAAATTCCAAACTAACTATAACATTGCAAAACAACCACTTAAAAAGGTCGACGTGGTTCGTGATCTGGGCGTCCTCATCGATTCAAAAATGAATTTCGGAGAACACATTGATGCAGTTGTAAATAAAAGCCTGAGGATGATTTCATTCATATTGCGAAACACCAGAGAATTTAAATCAGTCATTGCATTAAAGACTTTATTTTTCATTGGTTCGCTGTAACATAGAATATTGTTGTAATGTATGGTATCCCACTTATCAAAACAATATTATACGATTGGAAAATGTTCAAAAGAAGTTCATTCGCAGACTCTCATACGTTGCTGGAGTGCATCGCACTATAAGGGGTTATGAGGAAAAGCTCGATTATTTCTCCCTAAAATCATTACATCAGCATGCAGACAAACTCAGACTGGTTTTCCTTTACAAGCTCCTTAATGGTGCCATTGACTGCCCTGAATTACTTTCCCTAGTTGGAATAAGAATCCCCAGACCATCGACTCGGCTGCACACCTATGACCCATTATTTGTGCCTAGAAGAAGGAACAATTATGGAAGGAATAGCCCCATATCACTTGTTTTATCCAGATATAAACGACTTTTTAGAAAGGCAAGCATAGATATAGATATTTTTTCAGACAGTGTTAGCCAATTTCTAGTGAATGTTGAAAAGCACATCGAGTAACTCGATATAAACATTCATTCTAAATGATAATAAAATTAAATAGCCGTACTTAATGTAACTTTATTCTATATTTTACTTAAAAAATATGTCTTTTCTTAAATCTTAACTTAAATCTCACACATAATTTTTAGTATTGTTTTAAATAAAGTAATTACGTTAATATTAAAGTGTTGTACTCACCTATAATTTAAGTACATATATATAATGTTATACAAAATGTAGCCGAAATGTTTTCATATGTACTTAGTTACATACATACATACATATAATCACGCCTCTTTCCCGTAGGGGTAGGCAGAGACCAGTTCTTTCCACTTGCTACGATCCTTACATACTTGTCTTGCTTCGTCCACTTTCATTATTCCCTTCATACATGCTCTACGGTTTAGGGTACTCTTGACCTGGCCTTTTTTCAAGACGTCCCTGATTTGGTCTAGAAATGTCCGCCTAGGTCTACCCCTTCCAACACTTTCATTCACACTCGCCTTATACACTTTTTTCGTCAATCGTTCTTCATTCATTCTCTCGACATGGCCAAACCATCTCAGCATACCTTTCTCAATTTTTGTCACTACATCGTCTTTCAGACCACAACGTTTCCTTACCTCACTATTTCTTAGCCTGTCACTCAGTTTAACTCCTATCATACTTCTTAATGCTCTCATCTCAACTGCATTTATTCTGCTTTCATGTTTCTTCTGCCATACCCAAGTTTCACTTCCGTACATGAGTGTCGGAACCAACACCCCCTCATGCACAGCCAAACGAGCCTTGTTAGACACCTTCCGACTGCTCATAAAGGAGTGCAAAGCTCCATTCACCATGTTTCCTGCATTCACTCTTCTTTCGATATCACTCTCACACTTTCCATCTCTTGTAAACTTTAAACCCAGATACACAAACTCTTTCACCTGTTCAATTTGTTCATCTTCAATCACGATATTGCAGTCTGTCACTGCCTCATCTTTTTCAAACACCATCACTTTCGTCTTCCTTACATTCATCTTCATTCCCTTTCTAACAAAAGCTCCACTCATAGCAGTTACCATCTCCTGCAACTCCTCGGCCGAAGACGCAAGTAATACTTGGTCATCAGCATAGAGAAAACATTTGACGAGTAACTCATTCATTCTCAACCCACTTTCATTCTCTTTTAAATCTGTCAAACAATTGTCCATGAACAGATTAAACAGCCACGGTGACGCTACACATCCCTGTCTAACACCTTTTTCGATATTAAACCATTCAGTGTACTTACACAAGCACTAGAATCCCTATAAAGAGATTGCATTGCTCGTATGAGGATACTGCTCACACCGTTCACGGACAGTGCTGACCACAATTCATTCCTCACCACTCTATCATAGGCCTTTTCTAGATCTACGAACGCGCAGTAGACTTTCTTGTTTTTAGCCAAATACTTTTCGGCTATGCACCGCAAGGAAAAGACCTGATCCGTACATCCCATTCCCTTTCTAAATCCCGCTTGTGCATCCCATACTTTCTTGTCTGTTTCATTCACAATCCTTTCAATCAACACTTTCGCATATAATTTACCGACGACGTACTTAGTTGGTAAGTCTAAATAAATAAATAAATAAATAAATATATTAATTTCTTTAAATTTATCTCTAAGAGACTCTCTCGGTTTTAGATTGTAAATAGCTCTAACGGCCCTCTTCTGTAAAACAAAAATAGTTTCTGAATCAGCCGCATTTCCCCATAGCATAATCCAATAAGACATTATGCTATGGAAATAACTAAAATAAACTAATCTACCTGTCTCGACACTAGCGAGACCTCTTATCTTTTTTACAGCATAGGCTGCAGAACTTAGTCTGCTTGCTAATTTGGATATACGGGGGCCCATTAACACCGTATATTGGATTTTGGAGGAATACATGGCTCTAGAGATATCCTCATACATTTCCTCCACCTCCTCATCGGGGTGTGCCGAAGTTGGTGCGTAAACCTGTATGACCTTCAGCGAATACCGTTTGGTGATTCTGAGTATAAGATACGCAACCCTCGTCGACACACTCTCAATCTTTGAGAACAATGTTGTTAACGAGAGACTTGTGGACGATAAATCCGACACCTCCTTGGGACAGATGGTCGCCCTCCCGGTGATAGAGCAAGTTGCCGGATTCGAGGATTACCGAGTCCTCCCCCTCTCTTCGGACTTCGGATAATCCTATAATATGCCAGCGTAACTTGTCTATCTCTTCTTCCAGCTCCACAATCTTCTCGTCAGTCCTCAGGGTGCGTGCGTTGTATGTTGCCAGGTCGAGTCGTCGTAGGTGGCAATCGAACCTCCACCGGAGATTTTTAGCACCCCCTGCCCCGCCGTTACCATGGTCGCCACCGTAGCCAGGAATAGTGGGGCCGCCGGGGACTGGGGGCCGTCGCTTAGTAACTTTATCCATTTTGGGGGTATTTGCCGTAGTTGCCACGCTTGGCGAGCGGGTCGGCAACCGCAGTTTTTAATCCAACCCGCAATAAGTTAATTTGAGTTCATGATATTTGAAGTATGGATACTTCAAATATCATAAACTCAAATTATCGGTATAGCTTCTGTCTGTGTTACGTTTGCTAAAATTGTTACATCACATAATAGACCACAAACATTATTTTTCAAGTCAACATTTTTGACAAAAAACTCGGGTTGGATCCTTTTTGCATAACCACGTCCAATTAATGATGGTATTGATGACATAAAGAAGAGGTTTATATTGGACGGCAAAGCGATTGTTGCAGTCACTGATGCTGGAAATAATGTGAAACGAGCAGTTGGGATCGCCAATTTGACTCATCATCTATGTCTAAGTCATGGGCTTCATAATCTGGTGACAGTCGACGGCATAAACTCGGTTCCAGAAATTGCACTACTAGTTCAGAAATGCAAAAAAGTCGTCAAGGCTGTGAGATATCGCGCCCCAGAGTTGCAAGCTGAAGCCGAAAAGGTACAGCAACAACTAGTTTTTGGAGAAAATAGAAGGCGTTGTTGAAACCTTAGAAAGTGACGAGAGCGACCCTGTTCCTGAAGTTGATCTAATACTGGAAAATGCCGAAGAAACCGAAATTGAAGACAGGGCTTTACCATCAGGATCACGACCCGAAAATTACAAACTTATTCAAACAATTAAAACCGCAACCCCAACTCGTTGGCACAGCATTTTCACACAGGAAGATTGGCCAAGAAGAACTTAGAATAACTCAAAGTGAGTGGATTCTTTTAGAAGATTTAGTAAAGTTTTTGAGAAGCTTTCGCGAAGCCGTCGAAATCTTGTCGTCTCAGAAAACATGCACAATGAATGTTGCTCTGGTGTTCCGTTCTGAGATTATGGACGTATTAAAGCTCAATCAAGATGATGATGCACTAATAATGTTAAGCTTAAAAAGCAACATGATGAAAATAATGAGTAAAAGATTCCCAGTAACAAAGCCCATTGTCGCAGCAGCACTTTTGGATAACCGCTTTATGAGTATGACAGAAATTGATTTTTTCTAGAAAACCCGAATATTGCCAGAACGTCCTTCCTTTCCTCGCACATCAGAGAAGTTATAAATATTAATAACGAGCCAGAAGCTTTAGGCGAAAATGCAGGCAATACAAGCACCAGCAATGTAACTGACACATAATTCTTGCATAAACTGTCGAGGAAACATAGTGTTAGTACATGCCAAGGGATTCAAGGTAATCCAATGCAGCAAGAATGTTGGCGTTACATTGCTGGTGCTGATCCTACAGAACCAAAAGATGGTGATTTATTAACTTATTGGAACAGTAAAAAAAAGTATTTCCTTATATTGCTGTTCTTGCTAAAGCTCTACTCTGTGTGCCACAAGCACTCCAAGCGAGAGGGTATTCTCGGTAGCCGGGTTAACCGTTACGGCGAAAAGATCTCACTTGAGCTCTATTTATTTTCTATAATCAACTATCTAATTAATTTAAGTTTTAAAAAATAAATTATTTTATTTATTTATTTATTATAACATGTTTTCTATTTCCATCAATAAAGTATAATGCTACAATTCGGGTAAATAAAATTATATTCATTCATGATAATTATAAAATATGTAAGTTGGATAGTAATGAAATTAATTAGTATGTTAAAAAACTGTTTATGAGGCTGTTAAAGTAAGCGTTCATTTGTAACATTAATTTTTTTGTACCTAATCTAGACAAGGTATGTAATATACTGACATTTTCCTGTCGTCCACCTGAATTGGTGTTAATAAGCAGCGTGTTGAGATTTAATCCAACTAGGTGAAGAGGAATAGATTGCGTGTTTTATAAAAAAATACAGGGAAAGTAGCCACGCCGCCGCCGACTGAAATTTGACAGCACGCCGCCGCCGACAAATTTTAAGGCGGCGCCCATATCTAATCTGTACCATATCACCGTAAAAAAAGTTACAGCTGTAGAGAATGTGCAACTTGTTACTTTTTCTACCTTCATCTCTGGGCGGTTAGCACTTATACATACTCTCCTTTTTTAAGAACCTGGGCCGGTAATTATCAAAACATATTTTTGCGAAGGTTACTATTAATGTGAGCTATTATACAAATTATTACAGCACTGATCTTAAATAGTTCAAACTATATACACAGATATTTACATGGCAATATATGCGCATACATACATGCTAAATCCCAAAACAAGAATTTCATCTTAAAATCTTTGAAAAAGATATTTCTTAATAACCAATCACAGCGCGAGGAGCTTAGCCCCCCCCTCCGCTGTCGGCATGCTTCGATAAGCTATCTTTCTCACACTTATGGCTATGCATAAGAAGACTTTTTTCTCGTATTTATTAATTTGTAAACTTTATTCACGTCTGGGAATTGTTTAAAACCGCTCAATTCGTTCGTCGATTTCCAGGTATTATTAACAATTACTCAATAAATCCGTGATTAAAATTTGAGATTGCTAAAAGTATATTTTTTGGGAATTTAGAAAATATATTTTTGGAGAGGTCTGGTAATACTTTATAACCCACAAAAACGTGTGGGATTATTTATTTGGAATTATATAAAAACTAAATTAAAAGATAATAGAGAAAACAAGTTGCCAAAAAAACATTTTTTAGGAATTTTTCTTTTGTAAATGTTATATGCTGCGCAGTAACGAAATAACCGCAAACGGTCTGCCAGACTCGCGGGACTGGATTCGCCAATTGACGATATTATATTTTTTCACAATTTCAACTTGCCAAAAGGACCTTCCCAAAATTCGTCGCCAGCTCGACTATCGCTAGGCGCACGATATTTTATTGCGGAACCTAGATGTGTCTAAAGTAATTAAGTAATTAAAGAACAAAATTTTGTATGTATAGTACATCTCCAACTATTTGATGCAAGAGAAATTTGTGGTGATTTTTTTTATTTTTTGATACAGGTTTTTTAACATAAATTCATTTACCTATGTCATCGTCATCTTTTTTACTCTTTGAGCCAAAAGCAATTAGTGGCAAGTCGTTCTCCGAATCCGTATGTCTATCTTCAAAAGCATCAATCTCCAAGTCTTCTTGTTTTTCAGCACTCTCTAGAATAAAACAGATTCTGACTCAATATATAAAATAATAACTGATATTTTTTTCAAGCGACTAGCTCATTACAGTCCATCACAAAGCTCATGGGCCCGAGCCTCCCACTTTCATTACCATATTGCATGTTTAATAACCTAAGTGTAATAAGCTGAAGTGGCAATGAGCCGAAGAACTGACAACCGATGGAGAAGAAAGGTTCTCGAGTGGCAGCCAAGTACCGACAGGCGAAGTGTAAGACAGCCCCCCACTAGATGGAGTGACGACCTGGTAAGACATGCAGGAAGTCGATGGATGCAGGTGGCTCAGGACTGTGCTTGGTGGCATTCCTAATAAAATTGGCAAAGACAGGTTGCTTACCAGTTGTAAGTACATCATTAATTCCTATGAAATTAATCCATCTTAGTGACATACATACTGGCTGCAATTATGCCCATTAATAATGAGCATCTTTCGACGTTTTTTTTAATCAAATAATGAATAATTATTTTACATTGACAATTATTTATTTATTTAAACTAACAACTATCATGACAGGAATAACCTAATGCGATAGTGTAATTCTTCTCATGCATAACAAAAATGTGGTCATTAACTGTAACAAATTGTAAACAATCCTACCCTAGTGAATTCACTCAAGGTGCAACAGAATAGCTCAATGTCTTCGGCCATTCTATTAAGAATGTTAACATTAAAGACGCCTTGTCGAGTAAATTGGTACCCGTCTGAAACACATGGCCCAATCCACCCCAATATGTGACTATAATATTATTTTGTGTCCATGGACTACAGTAACCACTTGCCATTAGGTGACTTATAGCTTATTTTATTAATATCACAAAATGTGCATATCTTACCTATTTCATGATTCACATTTTCTTCAAAATTGAAATTCTCATTCTCGAAATTCTCTTCCTCAACTTTAACAGATTCAAGGCTAAACATATCGTCCTTACAATCATTTTCTACATCACACTCTACTGGCCTGATATCTATATGACTAATTGGTGTGAATTGAATCTTATCTCTAGCCGCATGCGGTTTTGGTATTGACTGAAACCAAATTCTTTTATTAAATAAGAAAAAGCCAATGTAGTGATGCCATAGAAGAATCCATACTACCATACCATCACGCAGATGTCGTAAAAAGGGACAGAGGGAAACTGAAACAGGAGATGGGCAGCAGCATCTTCCTGACAACAACTACAAAAATAATAAAAACCGGACAAAGTGAGGGTTCTGAATAAACTTCATAAGAATGTAGATACATATGTAGTTCATCCATCTTGAGTATCAAGTCTCAAAACTTTTTCAAAACAGATTCACGAATGCCGTAAATTGACAAAGATCTATCTTTGTTTACTGAGTAACATATAGATTTCGTTTATATACAATAGAGTAATATATAAAAGTATAAACAGACAATTATTTAGTAAAAATAAATACTTATCTTACTGTAATTCATAAAATATAGAACATCTAACAAAAAAGTAAGTTAGATTGAAGGATAAACTTAACTTTGCAGTAGAAAAAATAATACCCCATATAGTAAAAGGAAGCAGCATAGAAGGCACGAGACAGGTAGTGCTCATCAAGGTGCCTGCCAAGAGATGATTAAGGCAACTACTTCATTATAATGGGAACGAACTATCAAGCAGTGAACTTTCATTGATAAGAAGTATAATACCATGGACCATTTAGTGGCGGTGTAAGAATATCCACTACATAGGGTAGTGGATATTCTTACCTACCCACGGGACGGGTGTCGTAAGAGGCGGCAGAGGAAATCAAAAACAAGAGTTGGACGGAAGCATGTTTCTCATAACAACTCAGACTAATATGGACTGTGCTTGCCAACCTGTCAAACTTGGCAAATTTGGTAAAATCACTACTATCAAACAATCTATGAGGGACTTTTATAGGTTTTAATGGATGGAACGGATAATACCATGGACCCTCCTGCAAGCAACTGCTCCAGAACTGCTTTTGATTCAACAGCCTGCTGTTGTAATGTTCTGCAACGAATGAGTCTTGCATGACAGGTGAAACAGACAATTATGGGCTCCTCATCCTCATCCATCTGAAAATATGAAAGTTCGTCATAAATTTGGAAAACTACTTAATATACAAGTTTGTAATAAAACCTATTGGCTACCACGATTCTCTTCATCAACATCATTTTTTACAACATTGAAGTGACAAATAAACTTACAAACCACCTGATGGTAAATGGTTGAGTCACTTGCAACGAACTTGAAGCAAAGGCTACAGATGTGATGTTACCTCTGAGGACCTTGATGTAATGCTTCACAGCGTGTTATTATACTGGCTCTCAATGTCCTTCACACCGGGACACATATTGCTGCTGGTGGAAGAAATAGGCAAGTGGATGATAACTACCCAGACATACTCCTAGGAAGAACAAAGTCGTACCACCTAGTGAATCATCATCACTGCAACAACACAGTCTTAAGCCACCTACATCCATGGACTTCGTGTTGCCAGATTGCCACTATCCAGTGGGGGGCCACTCAACAATTAGCTTGCCAGTATTAAAAGACCAAACCAGGGTGGATTTGGATATTTTGACAGAAAATCGCAATAAAACTCAGTAATATGTACTAGAACATAGACCGGGAAAAAAACTATGTAGCAGTGAGGGTCGCGTGGAAGGAGGCACAAGGTACCTTTTTATGGCACAGACTAAGTAATTTTTATCTCGCAGACGCTAACGCGTGTTGCAAACAATTAAGTCTCGGTGCCTCTTCTAGCACGTAGTAGGATTTCAGGCTAATTGGTGTTTTTCAGGTTCTGGTTGCATTTGTCTTAGCCTAGCCCCATCTATCACATTTTTATATGGCAAGTAATAAAGTATTTCATCGGCAGTAGCAACAAATTACCGCAACTTCAATTTGCAATATTAGGAGATGTTAACAAACTTACAAAACTGTTCGTCAATGTT